TTTTTTTTCGCTTCGGTAAAATTTCACTTAGGCTGCGTTTATTGGTCGACCATACACAAACACAATGAAACACACAAAAATACGTAAAGAGTAATATATTTTAGTTGTAAGTTGCGCTATGCAAGACGAACACAAACGTGGTAAGAAAATTTAACGTTAAACAGTAGACGCTAGACAAAAAGGTACATACACAAATATATACTTTCGATATGTTTATTGCATGCTACATGTATGTATTTATGCAGCAAAGGGTGACCCCACCAATAAGATAAACAAAAAAACTGGCGTTCAGGTCGCTTGCTTGAAAAAAAAAAATCTACAGTATTTTTTAAAGAAACAAATTATTGAGAATTTGCTGCTGGGTGTTTTTCATAATTAGTAGAAATTTTTACTAACACAACTTTACGTTACGTGCCTCGTAAAAGTGAGCTACTAACGGTGTTTTAAACAAGTAAACGTGTTTGAAAAGAGAGTATAGTACTTTTTAAGGTTTAAAAAAATAACTAGAAGTGGTAAGTTTGCCGTTCAAAGTGTGCTGTGGTGAGTACTTGCACAAATTCTTAAAATTTGGTGAATTTTGAAAAAATAAAATCGTGATTTACCGTAAAATTTTTAATTGAATATATATTTCATATAAGTTTTTAAAATAGTCTCATACTTTTAGGAAATATGCTTCTGATTATTTATACAAACAGAGTCTTTTCATATAGACTCTTTCATATAAACTGACATTCGCGCGCGCAATAATAAAACCAAGAGTCCACTAACTCAAAAAATTAATAAATATAATAATAATTTATAAATAGATATTAAAGATTATACTCTGCTTATTTTAAAGCAAATTCGTCTCAAATCTTCACACGAGCTTTTTAAATATATTTTTAAGTAATTAATCGAAGACATTTTCTCTTTGATAAATATTTTTTTAATAAAAAATTTAAGGCCGAAACTTTGATCAAAAATCGATTTTTTTTATAAACCGCCATTTTGTCAAAAAAATTTATTTTGTGTTTTCCTTCGATTTGCTATATTAAATATAACATTCATGAAATCTGTTTGGTTTTCTAACGTCTTTTTTTGAGAAGAGCTCCCGGAGATCAGTTGTAGTTCCTTACCASATAAATATTTTTACTAACATTGAGTCTTAAAATAAGTTAAAAGTTACCATAATATGAGTATATATTTTTGAATGAATAAATTTAAAAATTTTCTCAGAAAAAATTCTGGAAAAATTCGCTTTTATTCGGGCTTCTAACTGTATATATCCCCTTAAAGGTACTTCAAAGCACTTTTTTTTTTTTTTAAGAATTCAATATGTAATCGGCTTTAAGTATTATGAGAACATGTTGGGGAAAAGAGCGATTTTCAAATTTCGACTCGATAACCGTGAACTCTCTTACTCTTTAATAAAGTGTTTAAGCTTTGCAACTTAAGAAAGGTCAAAAACCCAGTGAACTTAACCAAATGGGTTAAGATAGGTTTTGAACTCCTCCATAGTAACGGTGAAGGGTTTCGCATGGAAAAGCACAGTTTTAAACTTCTAAAATGAAGAAGCTGTATTTTAAACTGAGCCGGATAGATTTACTACATAGATTTAGCTTTGGTTGAGGTTAAAATGGGTCGAATTCGAGAAAGRAGCTAGATGAAAACAGACGCTTAAACCGTTTTAGCAAATGGTAAAGRAATTCGGTATTAATGTAGAATGCTGTTTTGAGATGAATTACGGTAATTCAGGACTGTAATGAGAACTTAAAAATTTTCGAAAAAAAATCTATTTAAATATAGAAAAATGATTTAAATTTCAATAAAGATTTTTAGCAAGATGAAAATAAATATGTTTGAACAAAGTTGAGTTGTATGAACCAATCATTGCAGGTATAAAACATTTAAATCTGTTTCTTAAATATTAATTGCACAAATCGAACTACGTAAATTAATGTACCGTTACGTATACAACAATTTCGAAATATTCGAAAACACAAACCAATGAGCCATCAATAAACAAAAGAAAATACCAATTCGAGTACAACATTTGACAAATTAAATAAAAGCAAATGTCAACACGCGTGACACTGAGCGGAAACAAGCAATTACAGACAGGAGAAGACACATGAGACTTAATACTTGGTTTTTACAAAACTGCTATATACCTGTAACTTTTTGTGGGGCAACCAAGGATTGACAATCGGCTAAATCAAATTAAAATTTCAAAGTGTTAAAAAAATATATGCAGTTAAGAATGAGTAATTAAGAAAAAAATACAAATAAAAATAATAATAAAATTATACTAAAAGAAAAAACACGAAATAAATTGCGAAAGTAATGTTTTTGCTGATTTATTTATTTTCAAAATATTTAATTCTGCACTTCCGTTGCTTAGGCAACTTTCTCGGCGGTAGGCGCCACTGGCGCGTGTATAGACGCTTCATAATCGCTCTTTTCATAATAGGCATCGAAGGGACTATCATCGTCGGAGCCTGAGTCTTCGGGATAACGCTGCAGGGACATTGCATTTTCAAAATGTTTCGAGAACCAGAAATAAAAAGCAATAAAAATAGAAGAAAACTATTGTAWTAAGCTGAGCGAAAGTGGAGAATACTGCCCCTTTTGGTGATTGGTGAACACAGAGCGCAAGCGTACGTCTTTGATATGAGCGAGTGATTGGTTGCGCATGCTAATTATTATGTCTTAAAATCGTTTAGTTTAATTTTTTTTATGATTGACTTAATGCATATAAATGTAATGCCATGGCATGCCAAAAGACATAAAAATGTTATGTCATAATTTATTGCCACAGTTATGACATGCCATAATGCACTAGAATATTATGCCATAATGCACTAAAATGTTGTTATAATTTTTTGTCGTTATGTCATGCCATGATGCACATTATCCCATAATTTATTCCCATTATTATTTCAAGTCAAAATGCATATAAATTTACCATAATGTATGGCTATAATTATGTCATACCATAATGCACTAAAATATTATGAATTAGTTTATTGTCATTGTTATTTCAATTCAAGATTCATATACATAAATGTATTGACATTGTATGACTATAATTATGTCATACTATCAACCCTGCCATGTCATGCCATAACCCATAAAATGTTATGCCATAATTATGTCACGCTAAAATGTATATAAATGTGTTGCCATAATGTATGGCTGTAATTATGTCATGCCATAATGCACTAAAATATTATGCCATGATTTATGGCCACATAAAAGAACAGACTGCGTGTTTTTCATTCAAATGTATGAATGATAAAAGACATACTGCAAAATTATGACTAACAGGCAATCGTTAGATACCCCAGACTGCTGTTTACGTTGGCCGATTTTTAACTAAATGACATCCATATTTTAGGAAAAAAAATATAAAATACCTACTCGAAACAAGATCTGAAATACTTTTAAGTGCAAGGTAATAAAAACAATTTAAACTGATCCTCCATATCAGGAAATTCTTTTGGAAATCTGCTCATCAGTATAGATATAAGAAAAAAAAAAATTTCAAACGCATAAATTATTTAAGGAAAATTACAAAGAGTTGATTTTCATCGTTAAAAGCCTTCTCCAAACTGCTCCTTATAGAACTTGATTTACAGCAGGAGAGGACATAACTSTACTTTATATATATACATATACATATATACTATATCTGCGGAATTTAACGGAAAATGTCAATTACGTCGAAAGACCTAATCGTAATTATTTTCCCAGGCAATATAATTAATTTTTTTTTTATTTAAAACAAAGTTCATAATTACGAGAACGCATGCAAAACTAGTGCGCACAACGGTATAAATATCACTTCAATCAATGCTTTGATCGAAAATTAAATGTATAAAATCACTATAAAATGAAATAAAAATTATTTTTCTTTAACTGCTCCAAAAAATGTATCATAAGAGTAACTACCATATAAAAAGTCGCATGCAACAAAGTCTCAATGCTGAAACAGTCTCAGTTGGAAAAATTGAGAACAAAATTTTAGAGCACCAGCACTGAGAACAGTTTAATCGAACAAATAAAAATGCACTAATTACAACAACACACATACAAATATAGTTAAATATGTACGTATGCCTGTATGCTTAYAACACAAAAAAWTATATATTTTTTTTCGGAACAATTAAACTATTTAAAAAGTGAATTAAATAATTAGAGAAACAGTCAAACGAACAAACAAACAAATAGGCTCTCGAGTACCTTGAGTTTATGTAGAGTAAATCAAGTGAAAAMATTACAATTGAAAAGGCCAAAAATATAATTGTCTGCACAGTRGAGTAGATTAGTACAGTAGAGTAGAGTACACGGGCATAACGTAACGCAAGACAACGCAATGCAATGCAATATAATGTAACGTAACGAACGAACGAACGACCGAAGGTGTACATAGAAGRTATGTATGTATTTATGTAAAGTAAGTATATACAGAAATAAATATTAATATACAGGAAGTAGTAGAAATAGCAATAAAAGTAAGAAATTATATTAAACATATGTTATAGAGAGACTAAGAGAGGTATACAGATCAAGAGAGAGAGAGAGATGTTTGTGTAGGCGAACAAATGTATGAAAAGATGAGAGATACAGACGATTAAAACTTAAGAAMAATGTTGACAAAATATATTTCACGACTGAGACGGATTATAGATTGGAAATTGAGGTTATAGTAGTTGTAAAAAGTATGCATGAAAGTGCCAAAATCTTAAACTAAAGTAACTTTGTATAGTACATGATTCATATTAGATAATACGGTGGTAAGTGATGAATTTGTGCATAATGTAAGAAATATTGTGAAATATTTTCAAATTTTAGAACTAAGTTTTTTGAATGTATTTTGGCAAACAAACCACTTCTGTAGCAGACTTATTTTACAATTTAAATATTTTTTAATATTTTGTTTTTGCATTTTGTCGAAACGTATTAAAGTAATGGCTTTACATTTCATTCAATAAAGAAACTTAAAATCATACGTATAAGTAGGGGCAAGTATCTTAAAAGATGCATACTTTTCGATACATTATCGTTTTGACAAAATTTGAAATATTTAAGCATGAACTGATGGACTCTTGCAAAATTCCAAGAAGATCCGACGTTTTCGAATCAAATTTTGTTCAGSGATGAAGCCCATTTCTGGCTCAATTGGTGTGTAGTAAACAAGCAAAATTGCCACAATTGCGAAGAAGAGCAACCTGAAGAGATGCAAGAGCTGTCATTTCATCCAGAAAAAAGAACGGTTTGTTGCWGTGCTTTGTGGGCCGGTGACCATATTTTTTCAAAAATCAACCCACTACTTGATGCCTGAAGTTGAAGCTCGTGATCTCGGCGACATATGGTTTCAACAAAACGGTGTCATTTCCCACACATCGCATCAATCAATGGACTTATTAAGATATTGCTTCGGTGAGCAGATAATTTGACGTTTTGATTGGCCACCAAATGTGTTTGATATCACACTGTTAGATTTTTTTCCTGTGGGAATATGTWAAGTTGGTTGGACCATCTGAGACGTAGCCGAGGCCACAATTTGAAAGAAGCAATCTTCAAAAAATAAATGGCAAAGAATGTTCTTTCGAATGATATTAAATATTGCCCTTTAAAATTGAAGATTCTGTGTTTTTTCTTTAAAAGCGTAAGGAATTTCGAAATGGATCACGCTTTATAATAATAATTTGCTAAACCAGCGTTGACTAACCAGAAGGAATCGATAAGAAGCATTCAGCTTTGGCYAAAAGGGAAAGAACTGTGTACCATCAGAACAAGACCTGGTCACACACATTGATAGTGATGCGCCAGAGCTCCGACAGCTTGGTTTGTTGGATTCTTATGCATCCACCATATATTACGAACCTCGAACCAAGTGATAGCCAAATGATTTCGACGTTGAAAAGAAGCTCAGGAGAAGCTTTTTCAAATAGACTGTCCAGTTTGTAGTCAATTTTTGAGTGTGGCATTATGAAAATACCAACAAAATGCCAATAAGTTTCTGCTTCGATAATGCATATTTCGGCTAAATCGGCTAATTCTAAATATGCACATTAAAAATTTCAATTTAATGCAAGAATAATGTATTGTTTTTGACTTGACCTTATAAGTGAAGTCTTGAAAATAAATTAATTTTATTAAAACCATATAAAATATTAAAATACGAAAGTAAACCTAACCTAAATATGAAAATAATAATTGTAGCGATTATTTCCGCACACGATATACTCCATCATATTACATATGTAAAATCCTAAAATCTTAAAATTTCAAGCTTCCGCTCACAGATATAACCAATATTAAACCATTTTATAACCAAAACTTAAATTTTATTTCAATATGGAAGTAATATTACGTTATTTTGCATTTTAAGTAGCGAAACATCATTTAATGCCTACTTCATGAATTTATTCAGTTAAATACTGAAAAGGTGGATTCCGTGCTTTAGTTTTGTCGCACATTGTATATATCCGTTATTTAACGATTTGTTTTTNTTTTTTTTTTTTTTTTTTTTTTTTTTTTTTTTTTTTTTTTTTTTTTTTTTTTTTTGTTTGCAAACCTTCCCTGAAGTTTCAGTATTACAATAAAGTACACCATGTCGTATAAGTAACACAGCATGCTATATCACTTGTATAACTACCCTGGTTTGATGTATAACTTTGACTGCGCATAACTTTTAAAGCAAGGTTTTTATGGAAAAATGCATTAAGACCTTTTTTGTAAAATGGAAAATTTTGTGTTAGAATGTCGTATTGTCAAGATTGCAGCTTGACTTGCTTAATACAAAATATCAGAAAAATCCCATGCTATAAATAAGGGAAAATAATGTAGGCGCTTTTTAAATTGAGAATAGCGTGTTTTTTTTTACAATGGGCCTATGTATTTTAGGGCAAAAATTTAAACTTTAGAGATAATACTTGAGAAATAATATACCCCCTAATATACATATGTACACATACATATGTATACCGCCTACTGTATACCAATTTCGCACAACTACACCGAAAAGAATATTCCAAAATTTTAAATTGTCTAGAAATTTGCTAAAATTTGCATTGGTTAGTCACAATGGCGCAAATACACACACGCAGCTGCACAACGAACATAAAATCGGTTAAGTTAGAATTTTAGTGACGCATAATGTATGTATGTATGTAAACGAAAATGTCAAAACGACGAGCGCAGAAACTCAATGGGAAGTGGGAGCAAATGTCTTACAACAACTACAAGTATGTGATGGTTTCAAACTAAAAGTGACACTTGCAAGGGGTGGAGAGAGAGGGGATATGCATATTTCGTCAATTACATACAGACAAGCAGGCAATAACAAAAACAAAATCAACCAAATACATACACACATACATACAAATGTACACATACACATATGCATTTATGCAAATGAAATGACACCACTCGAGACACATGTGATTTAAGAAATGTCTGTTTGCTTGTATACGTGTATGTATGTATGTATGTACGTATAAGATGAATTTTGTACGTTTATTTAATTAGTTGCAACCAGAGGAGTTAAATACAACAAAAACAAATTCAAATTGACATTTTCATTGAGTTTTAGAGGTTAACTAGTTGGATGCATGGCAAGATTTGGTTTCTTTGTTACTGTTGTTGTTGTTTATTAGTAGTAGAAGAAGAAGAGCAAATCAAACTTACCTGCACGGAGCCATGCCGATCGGCCGGTGTTAGATTGCCGAGTGTGGCGCCTGGTTTTGGCACATCCGGCCACGCAGCAACACCTCCTTTGGCATTTGTCTATAGATTTTACGACATTTTTTGATTTAATTTTTTTTTTTTGTTTTTGTTTTTCAATTTCATAAAGCGCAGCCACAACAACAATAGCAACACCAGACACCAGATAGCAGTGGCAGGCAACAAAAAAAAACGCAGCGTTTGTATGCGTTGCAGAATGTGGGTCAACCAGCCGTGGGCCATAACGCGTAACGGGCGCATGCAGCACACACACATACACAGACACAGTTACGACGCAGTTRCAATGGCAAAACGGAGGCGTTGACGTTGTCGCAAAATCCATCGGTGGATCGGTATGTTGGCGTAGACAGCGCGAATGGAGAATGCATATGTTGTTGTTGTTGTTGCCGGCGTACAACGGCCAGTGCGAACATTAATATTTTGTTTTCCGTTTTTTCAGTTTTTTTTTTTTTGGCGTTGATGATGCGGTAATTTTGGCAAACGAAGATGGGTGGTTATATTTTGGTTGTTGTTGTTGTGGTTGATGATTATTTCAATTGGCATTGGATTTAGTAGTTGTTGGTCGGTTGATTTTGGTTGAGCGTGCGGCAAAATATGTTGCAATTAGGTAAGATTTRATTTCGATTTTTTTTTAGTTTGCGTTTTTTAGTAGCAAAATTGTTTACGAAAACAAAAAATATACAAATTCGGTTTAGTTTCAGTAATTYGAAATAATTTAATTATTTTTTGGAAAATGTTTGCAATTTCTAAAGCTTAAGGCAAATTTATGCACGTGAAATTAGCAAATACGAAATTTTGTCTACTTTTCGCTCTGAGGATATCATGACTACAGATGAATATTTAAAAGAATGTGCATGTGTGTGTGTGTGTGTGTGTGTTGTATGTATATATGTACAAATGCACCTGTTTATATATATATGTGTGTGTGTGACAGTGACTACACTGTCTACTACTACAACTACAAATGTATGTGTGTGTGAAATGGCATCGCTAAGTAAAGGAAGTGGCTAGAAATTGAATGGCAAATGGAGAGGAAATAACGGCATAACGGAAATTTTGAAATATAACGCGTCGATTGCGAATGAACATAGAAAGACGACAGAAAAACTGTAAAAGAGCCTTCAGCTGCTAACCGTTGACAAATTGGTGTGTAACGGTAACTTAAATGGCAAGTGAGGAGGGTATGTGTGTGTGTGTGTAAGTGTATAGCACGTCAACCGTCGTTCTATGCTGTCAGTCTTGTGTGCAATCGAAAATATCGACAATATTGTTTGTGTGTATGTGTTTGGCTAAGTGGAGAATTGACCTAGCCACTGACAAAAGATGCAATTGTGCAGCAAAATGTCATTTAACGAATAGTCCGTTAGTGAAAATCTATTATGTTGTTTTTATTGTTGTATGTATTTTAGTATTTCAGTTGAAAGTTTGAAATTTGTCGACAATTTTAAGCTGTGACATTTGACACGAGAAATTTATTTACAGCTCCTTGAAATTTGTCGACAATTTTAAGCTGTGACATTTGACACGAGAAATTTATTTACAGCTCCTGCCACATATATGTAGATACAGTTATGTATACAGCGTAAGCATAAGTACTAAAATGCATTATTTCTCGCACTTGTGCTAGTCACATAAAACGAACCCCAATGGGAATTTATAGAAAGTATGATGTATATTGCTTTGGCGCAGATCAAAAACAAGCTTTCATATTTTCTCTGTGTTTATAGCACAAATGTATGGTACAAAATTCGATGTACTTAAATGAGTTTATAATTCATTTTATTTTATTTGTTTTATATTCCTTTTTTGAATACATTTTATTTTATTTTATTTTTTTTCATTTTCCTTTTTGAATACATTTTATTTTATTT